AGGCCCTTTCAAAGTCCATGGGCATGTGCCAGCAACCCCAGCCCTGGACATGGACTCAGCTTCATAAATAACCCGGAAGAGCAGGCCCTCAAAGGTCTCAGTTTAGGGTACTGGTTTTTGTTGCGTTGTTTATTTATTTATATGTCTGTGTGTTTGTTTGGGGCAGCACCTGTCTTTCTGGCTTTGCTGAGAGGGATGAGAGGAAAAGGAGAGGAAGTCAGGAAAAGAGGCAGGAGGGAGGGTACTACCCCTTTAAAGGGCTGCTTCCCAACCCTAGGGAAAGTAGGAACCAGTCATGCATCCCAGCAGCATGGGATTTTTGCTGGAAGGGACCTTAGAGGTCATCATGTCTAAGACTTTCATTTTATAGATGAGGAAACTCAAGCCCAGAAAGATAAAAAAGACAGCAGGAGGCCATGCATCTTGTCTGGGGCACAAGTAGGATTTAAGTACTGGTTCTCTGAGTGCAAATCGAGGGCAGACATGGAGGTGAGGGCTATGGGACTGAAGGCACGGGATCTGTCCCCCCTAAATGGCCCTGATTTCTCTTTATACACTTGAGAAGGCAGCGGCTCTGTTTGTTTCAATAGAATTGATTTCCTTTGTACTTTTATGTACTTCCCTTTATACGTTTAAAAACATCTTATTGAGAAGGGTTCCAGTGGCTTCACCAGACTTCCAAAAAGCAGGTCCATCTCTCTCTCTCTCTCTCTCTCTCTCTCTCTCTCTCTCTCTCTCTCACACACACACACACACACACACACACACACGAAGAATCCCTTAGTGGGAAAGGACATAGGACAGGGAATGCAAAGAATTGGGTTTGAATCCTCACTATTCATCAGCCTTGTGACTTTAACCAAATCACTTGTTCTCTCTGGGCCTCAGTTTTCTAATCTGCAAAATGAGGAGGTTGAATGAGATAATTCCTAAGATTCCTGATTTGGCTCTTTCTGAGTCTGTGAAAATGGAGGAATTACTAGGAGGCCCTGTACTGACTTTAATATTAACTGTAACTCAACACATTTGAGTGTGGCAGGCCGAGCAATAGGCTTAGGTTGGAGCAGGTGCCAGGGAATCTGGCATACGAGTAGTCAGCAGAAGGCACCCTCCCCCACCCCAAATGCCCTGCCCCCGCTGCCACCCCCCTTCCCCAGCACCCCCTTACAAAGGCATCTTGCTTCTGTAGGCACTAAGGCAGGTAACCGGACTCCATTCATGAACTCACATTCCCCCAAGGCACACAGAGCCTCAATGGCAGCCCAGGGCTTGCTTCTGAGGAAAAGATTTCACACGCTCCAGCAGGACCCGGGCCACTACAGACCTTCTAAAGTTACACATGTCATGTGGGGCTGCTCAGTATGGTACAGTAACAGGAGAGGCAGTGGGTGACAAATGCTACTATATTTAGGGGAAGGGAAATGGGCCACACCACGGAAGGTCACAAAAATTCTGCCCTCCAAAAACCTAGACACCAGCTTTGGGAAGAAATCACATATATACAGCACAGAGATACTTGGTAGAACTCCCAGAGACTCACCACTTTTATCGTACTCAGCTTATAAAAGATGGTGAGGTTTTTGTTTTGTTTTTCATGACAGTGAGTGTCCGGAAGCTTGTCTTTACTATCCATGCACTGATTCTTGATCTTCAAAGCAACTGAGACCACCCACCAGATTCTCTTGGCATTGCTGAGAAGCAACTGGATCTATTTATGCCCACTTTCCAGATTAGAGCTGGGGCGAAGACAGGTGAACAGCATATGCCCTGCATTTCTGCAGGAGGTAGCTTTAGAGTCAGGAAGAGAAGGCAGGTCTCCGTGGCTACCAAGCCTTTGCCCAACTGAGCAGATCCCAAGCATCCCATAGGACTGCCAGTATGGCTCACATCGGGAACAAACTGTGGGACAGGGAGTCAGGAAGTCCTAAATTCAAATATTACCTCCAACACCTACTAGCTGCGTGACCCTGAGCAAGTCAACCTCGCTGAGTCTCAATTTCTTCATTTGTAAAATGGAGAAAATATCATCTAACTGGCAGGGTTGTTGTGAGGATCAAGGGATCAGGGCCCAATACTGCAGAGAATTTCACTTAAAGCACTATGTGAAGCAGCCACGACATGTGATTGCCTCAGAGTCAGGAAAACCTGAGTTATGTCTTGTCTCTGACACATACTTGCTGTTTAACATGAGACAGATCAATTAATCTCTCAGTGCTCTAAGGCTGTCAGCTGCTGGGCAGGCACCAATCTGCATAGATAGAGGGATTTCCTCATGAGGGGATCCCTCTACCAATGAAAGTGCCCCCCAAAAATGCTATGAAATGCCTACTGTTATATGATGTAATATACCCACACAGATGGGTAGATAGATAGGTAGGTAGGTAGATAGATAGATAGACAGACAGATAGATAGATAGATAGATAGATAGATAGATAGATAGATAGGTATGCCACATTATTGAAATGATTTCTCCACTCTGCAATTTAGACAAAATGGACCAGCAACAAAGCCAAAGTCAGTCAACAGAGATAACAGAGACCAGAAATGAGACCTGCCTCTGAGACTGGATCTAGCTTCCAGGACACTTTAAGTACCCTAATGGTCCACAGGGGAGCTAATGCATAGTGACCTGCACTGGTTGAAATGCCTCCTCTGGGCAATTCATGACGATGGTGACCCAAAAGAAAAAATCATACTCTCCAGCTCTATCCTCCACTGTCTTCCACTCCCTACACACACACACACACACACACACACACACACACACACACACACACACACACACACACACACACACACACACACACACACTCATTTCAACTTCTGGAATATAGCTTACATCCCACCCTTCCTCTCCCCCCTGTTAAGGCCTCATTTCTGCTCATTCAGACAGTTGTCAGTCTTTTATGTGTTGTTTTTTTGTTTGTTTGTTTGTTTCCATCCTTTCCCCTCTATAATCCCCTGTATTGGTCATGTCACTCCCCAAACCAAAATCGTCAGCAGCTCAACGTTACCTACTAAACAAAGGATAAATCTTTAATCTAGGGATTCAAGGTCCCCCTCCCCCACCTGGCTCCAATCTATCTGTATGGTCTTGTTTCATGCTATTCCCTTTCATTTCCTCTATATCCCAAAGTCACTGGGCTGTTCTCTTTCACCTCTGCCCACCCCTACTCTGCGTCAGAGACATAGCTAGCAATTCCTGCACCCGCAGCAGCACAAACCATGTCTGGGTTAAGGACTGTGAAATGCCTTCAAATTAATTTTTTAAGGTGGGCCACTCGTCCCCATGGGCAACAGGGGGGTTGGAAGAAGAGCTCCTCTGGGATGCCATCGCCAGGCCTTTTGTTTCGTTTTGTTTTGTTTTGCTCTCGTGGGAGAGAATGGAAGTATATTCTCCGGTAGCTTCCGATTTTTACAAATCCTTCTTGCTAGCTAGGTGCTGCATACTATTGTTTCTACGCAGCTTAAAGACTGCAAATGCCATCAGTAGTCTCAAAATTTGTCACCCTGGGACGAAGTCCCCAAGGCCCTACTCTAGTTAGCTCTCCTCCGCACCTTTGTTCATACTAAGCTCTACCCCTCTCCTATTCCAGTCTCCTCCTATTGAAATAGCACCCTTGTTTCAAGGTCCTGCTCAGATGCCACCTCCTCAGACGCTCCCCCCAAAAAAACAACTGGTGAAAGTGATCTCTTTCTTGTTGAGCTCTCCTCCCTTACATCATAGTTGTTGATGCAGTTGTCCTTCCTAAATTAGAATGTAAGCTCCTTGAGAACAGGACTCGTGCCATGTCTATCTTTGTTTCTCCAAGGTCTGACACAAGCCCCTGACCACGGCAGTTGCTTAATAAATGTTGAATTGAAATCAACCAAATATTTCCCAAGTAGCAGTGATATGCTCAGCACGTAACCAAGTACTGCCCCATCCTGCCATCTTAGGAGAGGGCTGTTTTCTGGAAACTTTCTGAAGTACCTCTTGGTCCTAAGCAGCAATATCTCTCAGTGCTTCTGCCGCTGGCTCCTGGACTGATACCTGGGCACCGTCCAGCAGTTTTGTCTGATTCTGATGCTGCTGAGAAATGTTTCAGGCCACAGAAGCAGAGCTGTGGTTTAAAGGGCGTGAGGGAGGGCCAGGTTCTCTCTCCTTAGGCTAACGGAGGAATTCTGCTTGGGGCCAGAGACAGGAGCGAGTATTGTGTTACACTGAAAAGAACAAATTAATCTTCTCTGACTGGTGGGAGGGTTTTGGCCAAAGGACAGGCTAACGGGAAAACCAGCCAGGTCTCTGTGATGATGACACAGTCAATAACCAGGCAACGTTGTTCCCTAAGTGCCGAACCAAATCGTAAATTCTACTTGGTCCCCAGAGAGCAGGTCCTACTGATTTGCTGAAGTGGGTTCAAGCAAACTCAAAAGGACCTGGATCTCATGACAAAGTTTGAGGTGAATGCCTGGTCTGCTAGGCAGGCAGGCAGGCAGGCCTTCTTTTCCATCACTTGCTCTCAGAAGATTTCAGCATTAGGTTGAGCAAACCAGCACTCTGGACTGAGCAAAGATGGCCATGCTGCTAAAGCCTGGTTCCTAAAAATGGACTTTGCTCAGTCTGGCCATCCTTTATTCAGAGCCAGAATCACTTTTGCACAGTTTTCTTGGGAGAACAAGCAGAACTCTCTGCCCTCGGATGGAGGTAGGGGTGCTTCATTAAAATATGTTCAAAGGACACAAAATGCACCAGCAAGGTACCCTTGGAGATAGAACTCTGTAGGAAAGCCTCAGCTGTGTTCTTCATCCCCAGCCCATACACACACACACACACACAACCCTCCTCCACTCGCCATTCACCTCACAAGGCCATAAAGAGAGATGGGCTTGAACACTGTCTGTTCAAGATCCAGATGAAGGCTCCCAAGAAAGTCAGTCCTAGTCTACCAGTCACACATGGCTTTAAACATTTTATGAGCAGCAAGCAAAGACCAGAGGTACCCCAGCAGCAACTCACCCTCTGCATCTTCAGGCCGGGTCAGATCAATGACTCCTGGGCCCAGTTTCCCATCTTCGTTGGACTTCCCTGTTAACGGGGGGCCCAGATTCTCAAAGTGTGTTCTCTCCTAGAAGAAAGAAGAAAACCCATTAAGCTCACAGCGGTCATAGGAACAGCCATATTTCCTCCCATCTTCATTCCTTTCTTGTTCACTAGGTGAAAAGCACAGATTCTGAAACACTGGCCGTGACTAAATCCTGCTAGAGAAAGCTTGGAATCTGGTGCAGTCACTTCTGTCCAGTTTGGCCCATGGGCCATATGAAGGACAGCTCAGGTGATGGCCAGAAACCACAGCCAGGAACCCTGTGGGCTCTGGACTGGCCTGTTTCTCCCTCTATTGGCTTTGCCCTCTTCAACAAAAAGGAATCCAATCAGCCTCTTCCAGCCTCAAACGCAGAACTTGAAAGAGCAATTCCTATTAAAACACACTGTGAAGTTTAATGGGAGAGGCGTTTTTTGCCATTTAGTGATCACAGTTTGCATTTGTACTCCTGAGGAAATACAAGTCTGAATTTTATGCAAGAGGGTTTCAAAGACAAATATTTCAAAGCAGGAATAGCAGATGACAGCGTCGTTGGCGCTATTATTTTGCCTCGGAGTTTGAACTGAGCCTCTACGGGAAGTGAATAACAGACCACTGCTCCTAGCAAAGCAGGGGGCCCCGGAGAGTTCAGACCTGCATGGGACCTGCCAGTGCGGGAGGAAAAAGGAAAGAAAGGCAGTTTACTTGTTAACCCAGTTCTTCAAAGGATGCAGGGCCTAGGACATTGCGAGGGGCCAGCGGGGCTAGGGTCGCATGATGAAACTCCAGGCAGGGGCCCTCCCTGCATATCAGTGCCAAAGTGTTCAGTGGGTATTACTAATTTAGTGTTCTTGTTTGCAGGACTAGAAGAAGTCCTGTTTCCCCCAACAGTCCCACCCTCCCAAGGCTTGTTGCTTCTTTAGACTAAAACTTGGCATTATGTCGTACTTGTGAATGAACGAAACCTTATGGAGCATTACTATGAAACAATATTAAATGTCATGTCAGCTTGAATTTAGAGACATGAAATACCAGCGCCCGTCTCCACACCGGCCCAGCTTCTGCATGTTCTTCCTAATGTATTATGCAGCCCCGGAGTGCCGATTGCTGTTCAATCTATTGTTCAGTGACCTAGTTCTGTACTGAGCCATGCTAGGCATTCGATGGAAACGCTCTGAGTTTTCTCTTCATCGAGATGTTTAGAAACTTGGAAATATCCTTAAAGAGCAAACATACAATTACTTGATAGCTGCGGTGCCTCATTTGTACAGTCTCAATACGTTTGTGCTTTCTAATATGATTATTTTTTGAATATCATTATATTTCTATAATTAATTCCCATCAGTCAAATTGTGCAGGAAGCTTTCCCCGTTCCCCTCAGCACAGAATATGTTTAAATTGGCACTGAAGGAAGATACAGCACAAACCTGGCTCTGTAAGCCCTCATTCACTGGAGAATTTCTAGGTGGTAAAGTTGTCCGAGGACTGTTTTGGTCCCAAAAAAAACGGTGACCCTTCATTTTTTCAACTAGGGAAAAGGCTAAGGAGGAAGACTGAGGTAGACATGGGGCAGCTTTCCTAGATATGATATCTGGAAAAAAGGTAAATGAAACCAAGAGTACAATCCCAAGTATGATCCGGTGATGTCCTCTTTCATAAAAATGCAACCGTGCATGGGTGGCTAAGCGTGCAAGGCCTACTGGCCCAATACAAAATAAAGCGACATACAATAAATGCAAACAGTCAAATGTTATATGTAAGTCATGGGGTCAGTCATTTCTAACACCTCAATGTTCAGGTGCCAAGGCTTAGATTTGAAGGAGGGGAAAGGGAAAAAAAAATTAAAGCAACTGTAAGCCCCAGGAAAGGAAAATATTCAACCTTTTTATCACATTGTTTCTCATTGCAAACATTTGCATTTGAATGCTTTCCCTCACGTTAAATGCAAAAGGGGTTCTGCGTGACACCTGCAATCTTCTTGGCAGAACAACCTTTGCTGTGTATTTGCAAGGGGGGAAAACAACTTTCTACTCTGAAAATCAACAGACTGTGCTACCCATCAATATGCATATTTCAAGGATCTTTCCAAGTCAGTCATTCTCTTTGATTTTATCGGAAAATATTCTCTGTCAAGAAAAATAAAATAAAATAAAATAAGTTCCTGAAAGAATATCAATATTTTGACAAGGAAGGAGAAGAGGGAAAATTATATGCCATGGTGTATAAAATCCTAAGACAACAAAGCTTACATGATGATAATGTTTTCTTTTTTTTTTTTAAAGGAGTGCTCTCACAATTCAGTCCTATGAGCCTGTTTTTAACTATAACAACAAAAAAAAAAACATTTGGAGTCACCATTCACCAACATGAGCACACATATGCACATGCATGTTTCCACATTCATTCTAAATGCCCTTGAAATCATTCATTTCTCTCACTTCATTCAAAACAAATTCTTTTGCAGTGAACCTTTCTCATAAAATATCAATATTTTGGCCAAAGAAAAAAATAACCCACAAAGCTTTCATTCAATATGGGAAAAAATAAATCACAGATGAGACGGTTTTGACCAGTGTACATTTCATATTTTTCAATATTAATACTATTCTTCTTGTCTCTGTGCCTACAGAAAGAGACTGTCAAGTTCTGCCCTGACAGAGAAGCTTCCCCGAGTTCCCCAGAAGAAAGACATCCAATCGGCCTTGCTTCAAAGAACAGTGGAGATCATTTCTTTGCCAGCCAAACCACTGTAAATAGTAGAGTGCCTGGTCACTGGAAGAGAATATGTATCTGACTCTGGGCAACCGAGCTAAGCCAAGCTTGCTCTGGTGGAGTTGGACACCAAGACTCATAAATAGTGGATATGGCCACAGATGCAGAAAGATTTCCATTCCACAACATGTGAACTTTGGGATCAGTCTATTGAAGAGAATTCTGCCAACAGGAGAACACGTAGACTGTGCATGGCAAAATGTTTGCTAACCCCCATTTTCTTCCCACTCTGGAAGCTCTCATCAGGCTACACTATTCGTAGACAATTTGAAAATGGCGATGATGTTTCATTGATACTTTCATCCTGTCCTCCCCACCCACTTCCCCACCACCACCCCCCCCAGGACAAACATCCAGGCTTCTGCCTGGCAGCAGAATGTTCATTTTTACGTGCTGAGCCGTGATTAGACACTTATTTATGCATTATCAGTCACCAACATGCAGGCAACATAAAAGTTATGGAAAAAAATTAAAGTCAGCTCCGCTGTGTCGGTAGGCCTGTTGGCTCTCTAAGTGCTTTGAGATTGTGATGTATGAGGTGGATGTTGCATATTAAATAAAGATATTTAAATGATAAAGCCCCCTTTAGTGAGAGCTGATGAATGTTAAACGTTACAGGCCACAAGCCAGTTGCATCCATCATCTTCACGGATTATTCCAGCCAATGCTGGGCCGGCTCAGTGATGACAGATAGACTGCTACATTATTATCCCTGATTTCCAGAGTCACTGAACAAACCATCCAACCTCTTGGGCATTATTTTTAACTTTGCATGAAATTAGTAACTTTTCCCCTCACTGTCACGGCAGGACGGCTTCCGAGCAATTTGGCCTCTGCATCCGGGCACAGGGGAAGCCTGGGTTTGGGACAATCGGGACGAATCAGGGGTGGTTTTCTTCCACAAACACAGGCAACTTCCTGTGACTGGCAACAAATGTAAAATTGTGATCTTGGGGAAAGAAGAGCCATGAACCAGCAAGCACACAATAATGGCTTTTCTTTGCACTTAGATAAAAGCTGAATTTTTGATGCACACAGTATATTTTAATAAAATTTTATATACTATGTTTTATACACTTATTGGCTATTCCATAATAATGTGTGTGCTAACAGTAAAATTGCTCTTAAATTTATGTGTGTTATTTATATGTTCCCACGTAACAATGCTTTTTGTTGTAAAAAAATATTCTGTTTATTAATGTAACTTTACAGCCCCTGCATCTGAGATCCGTGGTAAATTAATGACATTTTTATTATTTTATAGAGTCATTAAATTTTTACTGATCACTCCATCAAACCAAGGCAATAAAGACTATAATGTAAACTGGGACACTTAGATCAAGGGAGCAGGAAGACATTCCATATAGGCTGAAGCAAACGGCTGGCTATAAATGATATTTATATCATCTTTAAGCATGGGAGAATACTTGGATAAGTTTGGCAAAACTGTTTCAGGAGTAGAGTGGATGCTGTGCTTAAATAACAGTTTACTTTCCAGCGAGACAGGCTTTTTTCAAACCATATGCAAGAAGATGACTGATTGCAGCCATCTTCCAAAGAACAATAAATGGAATAGAATCATACACTGGGCACCCCTCCCTTCTGGATTACCCAGTGCGATCGGGCTGTACCCGGGCTTCAAATGATTTCCGCATGCTCCCCTTCCCTGTGTCTGAAACTGACACTAAAGACTGAGAAGGAAAATGTCAGACACCTTGAATGTCCTTTAAAATATTTTTAATAGTTCTTACAAACAAATCAATTTCATTTAAGCCCAGGTGGTTGGACAATGATGTAATTGTCCTCAATTTCAAAAGTCTTGTTTCAGAGGCTGTTAGCAACCTTATTTTTTTTTCTCCCAAAAATCAGAGTTCAGATATTGACTTAGTATGGGTCATTCACAGAAGCCACAGAGCAAATGCCCAAGTGGCCAAATAGGCAGTTTATATACACACAAAAATGTACATACATATATGTATATCTACATATGCTACAGACAATATTCTAGTTAGAATGGATACAAATAATTATGTCATGTTGTCTTCACATTTAAATTATATTATAATTAGGTTACTAAACACTAACTGTCTTAAATAAACCCATATGTGGGTTATTAGTTAATTGCCATCTATATTCTGTTTATATAGAGGAGACAGTAAACAAAAACTGCTGGTCTATGGTACTCTCAAACTTAAAATGTGCAATGTGCTTTGTGAGATTTGTGCTGGCTTTTCATTTAAATTTACAGGAATTTTGGGTTAAGTTCCAAAATT